AACCTTCAATCAAAAATATCCAATACAGTCCTACAGGAGGTCAGTCGCGAGCCTGAATAGCTCAGTGGTAACGTCTCTGACTGCAGCACTGGGTGATGCGGGTTCGAATCTCAGAAGGGACTTCAGTTCCTTCAAGGTTGCAGATACGCCTTGCTGGTGAGTGCCAACTAGCACGAAACCTAGGTCCAAGGCTTCCTGCCGATTGCCTCCAACCATCTAGTAGTAATATTAACTAATGACGTTTCGAGCACATATTATTGCTCATAATCATCTCAAGTTACTCACACAACTTTTTCCCTCATATATATATAATATATATAATTGACTAGATATTTGAATAAAAATCAATATGAGATAATGTACATTCAGAGATAATAATATGAGTGTTATTGATCAAATACAATTAGATGGGAAATAAGACGAATGTTCTTATAGTCATAATAAGTAACTTGTTAGGATGTTGTGATGTGCTTAATTGAAATAGAATTTTGAGATTATTTATTATCCTCTTCTGATTTGACTGATGGTAATAATATCTTATATAATTATATCATCAAAAAATGTTGTAACGGAGTGTTAGTGACTTCTTCGTTGTTGTCTAACTTGACCAGAATGAGCCTCCAGTCACGACACTGTAGTCAACTGATTACTCTGGAATATTCCTCACACTGAGTAGACACTCACGAGTCAGATTTAACCGAGGCAACTGCGACAACTACAACTTTATCATTCACAATACAGAGTATATCTATCGTTTACACATCAACCGAGATTTTCCCATAAATAGACAATCAATATCTGATTGGTTTCATCAGTCATGACTTTTATGACTACCAATGATAGTTAGTCCGTCCTAACACAACACTTACCTGAATGGAATGCATACATCAGCTCCTCAAATTAAACTGAGGTTTCGAAAGCTGTTTCTAATGTGAAACGATTTAGAGCAGTGGCACAATATGGTATGACTGAAGGAATTTTTAAGAAAGGCGGTGTAGAACTACTGCTGTCTGAGTTTACTGAGATATTAGGTAATGTGTAGAAATCTGAGATAGTCCTGTTGGACTGTTGTAATTAATTTATAATCGCCATTTATGAAAAGGGAGATAAATATTCTGCTTATATTGATAAGGGGGTTAGATTGGCTAACTTCTTATCTGAAATTCTAGTTTCCACTTTCACGTAGACTAAGTGGTGCTTTGAGAGACAAACCAGACAGACTCTAGGTCGGGAAGAGGCTGCATTGATCATATCTTCACCCTACGACAAGTTCTTGAGCATGGGTGTGCTTACTAGTGTACCACGCCATATTTCTTGACTTGAAGGCAGCATTTGACTCCATGAACGGAGAGATATTGTGGCAGTGTCTGGCCGTGAAGGGACTGCTGAGGTTTTTATCTGAATCTATTTCGGTCGAACATCTACAGTCGGGGAATTTTTTATGTGCCAAATAGCACTGTGAATACCCTTCTGTTCTCACCAATGGTCAAATCGTTCTTATGTAGTAATTTTTCGTAGCTGACCTTTTCGGGATCTGTAGTTACCTTTGCTTCCTCCCAAAGCTTCTGCAATGGTGGCGTGAGGATATACGCTAAGGTCGGAACTCTGAATTTTTCCCCTGAGTTACGTGACTTGCGGTTACTTCTTAGCATTCAGGACTTCCATTTTTGTCAGTGGATTCATTTTGATATATACTGGCTGTTTCGCTGGTGTTAGTCGATTTCAGTGCCCTATGTAATGGTCAGACTGGCGTTTCCTTTGTTTCTCCTCTTTAGTAATGAGATTTCGTGCACTATCTTTCATTGGTTTCATTTGTCTTGGTCTTTGCTTCGACAGCAACCTGGTTATCCGATATGGTTCTGAGGTCTGTTTTATTTGCAGATACCATTTTGTCGTGAAACTTTTTTAAAATTTTTTCTCACACCCTTCTCCACTTTTTTTCTCAGTTAGCTTCATATAATAATCATCTTCTTTCTTCGTTCTTCATCGCTGCTGTGTTTCATCTTTTGCCTCATTATCCTCCTCTCAAGGTGTGTATAGAGAGACATCCCTTGTCATTCCGTTTGCTTAGGATGTTCATGCAGGTTTCCGTACATGTCGTTTTTAGATTGTTCCAGCGTTGTCCCACTCAAGTTTCGTCGCTGATGTTACTTACTGTTTCCAACATTTCCCTGGTACTGTAGTGGAGTGTCCATTATGTCCTTGTCCTTCAGGTTCCTGGTGTCCAACTTGAATTGTCTATCTTCAGTTGTTTGGGAGGTTTCGTTGCAGTAGTTATTGGTCTGAGACTACATTCGCTCCTCTTCTCAATCCTTTATCCAGTAGGCAGCATCTTGAAATCAAGGAGCTCTATCTGATTGTCGGTGTGTTCATCTGATGAAACTGATGTCGCCTTGTTTACGTTTCCGTGATTGTAGGCGCTGCCTCCATCATCAAACATTATAGGCTCAGAATCCTGTAAATAGTTCTCAGTAATAATAGTAATAATAACAATAGTGTGATTTAATTTCCAGTCAATATTTTGCCTATGTTGTGCATTATTTTAACTTTTTTCAAATAATTTAGGTGTTTTTCGTATGTTTTGTTGAAACGAAATGTCTAAAATCAAAAGATGATAAATTATCAAACTTTTCACTTACATAATATTTCCAAATATAGATAAAACAATTGCCTGAAAATAGAGTTAAATGCTTTATGTTTTTAAAATTAATTTGGAAAAGATTCGGGTACATTGTTATCACAAATGTTTTCGTAGTAACACTTGGCTGAGAGGTTGGAAATAAAGTGGTTTAGTGCACTAATACTTCCATGCACCATAGCAGTTGCATCGTTTGTGAAGTATCCGTGGTTGACAAGCTAAGTGCAGTTCTGAGTATGTCAATTGCAAGTAAGAGGTAGGTACAATTAAGTAAATTGTCAGTTATGAATAACTTCTAGCTAATATTTGGGACTGCTAGGAAAAGTGATTATTTCCCAAAGTTTCTGCTGTCAAGTAATTACTGTTCTTCTTCATCTTTTAGATTACTCAATCTCCACAACAGCTTTTTCGTCAATATTACAACTGATTACTGTGAATATTATATATTTCTACACTTATGATATAGTTGTCATCGAATTGTTACTTAAAACAAGCGACAGAAGTTAATAAAGCAGGATTTAATGAATTCGTCAAATTTCGGTAGAACTCTTCAGCTGGATACTCTACATACACAGACATATATATCATTAGAATTACATTTGGACACAAGAGACTGATAAGATATGGAGAATTTCAAACTAAATAGTAGTAGTAATGATAATAATAGTAACAGCTACAATAATAATGATGTTAAAACGAGTTAAGATAATGATAATGATAAAAGATAGTTTTGAGTGAATCAGAAATAGTAACAATAAGATATGGAATAAAATATTAATAATAATAATAATAACATTTAGTAAATAAAACATATTACCGTGGTAGATTCAGTGCGACAACGGTTTCCTTTTGTACACAGAGACCTGGTTTATAAACTCTAATTGCACAAGCCTCTTCAATTGCTAATATCTCCCTAATTGTTTGTCTGCTGACAGCAGTGAATGACTTGACAGCGTCAATATCATGTCAGTAGTCCGCAAGATGTTTTGTTATCGAAATTTCAGGCCTTTTCACTTCAACTGTTTCCAACCACCAAGGCAAATACTCCATCATGCGAGTAGACAGTCGATATAAGTATAAAACTTGATATGATTATGAGCAATAGATTGTGCTCGAAACGTCATCAGTTAATATAACTGTACAACACTGTGTGATTTGTCAAAATAAAATCTTAACCACTATGGAGTAGACAGTCGCTTTTCTGTACGACTTATGTATTTGCTTCCTCAAACACTCAAATTGATATTAACTTTTGTTCCTTGCTTTTAAACTCGTATCCGGAAATAAATGTTTCGAATTGTTATTTGACTGAGATTACTTATTCTGATTCAAGGCTAGTGGCAATAAGATTGATTAGCGCTCGTTTTTCACTTTTTTTAACGTCATTCACGAATGCCTAAAACAGGGATCTGTGTGGCAAGTGCTTTGACGATTTCTCCAAAAATAATAATTTCATCCAACAGTAAAGATTAAGGTTGCTGACGTTTTTCCCATTGATATCTTACCTTATAATCTTGAATGCTGTGGAATTAATCTAAACAAACCAACCATGAGCTGAATAACGCACTCCGAAGTATTGTCTGTGTAACCTCTTTGATGACAAATAAACCTGACAGAAGGAGTAGTTCATGTTCGATATAGATTTATATCCCACTATTACGCATTCATCTAAATGTATGAATTTTAAAGTTTCGTACATACGTGGATACACTAGTATTTAGCACTTTCAGTTGTGCTTCATATGTAGACAGTGAGCAGCAGTCACTACTTGCATTAGTTTCTGTAGTGAAATTTCGTTAGTTTATCTGTAATATTATATTTCGATCATGTACTAGTGGATATTATGAACAACGAACAATCTCAATTCAGTCGTTAATCTTCCTAAAATCGAAATTGCAACTCACTTTGTTTATGGATGGTTTGCAGGTAAATAATTGTCTATTGATTTTAGCTGAAACTTGATGTCTTACGACTAACAGGGAACACTGAAACCTTAAAGGTAATAAAAACACTTGGTAAATAGGCGAAATAGTCATACTAGTTTCTCTTCTGTGAAAATTAATTGCGCATTTTCGGAAAATAATAAATATATTGTAGAGACTGATGATGAAAGCTTTCAAAATAGTGAGTGAATTGATTTTCTGTATATTTCAGTCACCCAGCTACAAGTTTGTAGTGGATATGGTAAAACAATAGCTAATTTAGTTGCAGTCTACAGCCGTTTAGAGTTTACGGTTGAGAGTTGCAGTTTTTTGCTTATAAATAATAGCATATTTCATTGGATCTAGTAGTTTATCACTTACACTACTGTTCAGCATAATCGTCTATTAATTTTATAATAATTTTCTTTATTTTTGACTAGAAACTTTCCATCCTCCAAGACTACGTGGTGGACAACCAGATAAGTATTTGTTTAATTTGGGAATGAAACAAAATTTTCAAGAAACATTTGGATCACGTTTTATATTAGCTATGCTGCCTGTATTCACCACGTAAGTCTATCTGTTAAGCTAGACAAATGCATTTTATTTACTAACATTACTATTAATTTTTCTATTTATCTTTATCCCGGTGGTTATCAACAGCAGTAATTAATTTGAATTACTATCATGTTCCGCAACCTCGGTGTTTAGAACTACATATACCTGGAGGTCTGTTGAAAGCGAAAGCACAACATTTAACTACTTAAATATGTTTTGCTTACTGAGTCTCCACAAAACAAAATAAGTTATTAGGCACTTTGCAGATATCCATTTTCTCGGACGATGTCTGTGGTGGTCTGCGAATTTGTTTAATACATCTCATTACCTTCGGTGCTGGTTGTTTGTTTTCCAGCATACTAGTACTGCTGTAATTATTAACTAATAATGTCTTTTAATTGATTATCTTTGTGATAATGGATCTCCTCTTAGAGGGTAATCAGCTGACGTGTTGTATTTAGATGAAATAGTCCTGTTGAAAAAATGATGGTGGGATGCAGAGTCTTTTGATCATTTCGAGTCCAAAAGTGAGTTTTCTGCTGTACTTCTCATCTCCCAGATATAAAGGTCTATTTCATGACTAATTCACAATACGTTGAGATTAAAGTAGGGACGCACTGATTGCGACTATCGCTCCATTAAGCCAACCTTATATGACATCTACCTGTCTTCCCAGCCTGCATTACTTAAACGAGAATATACAACGACGTGAGCCGCATAGTACACTTCACGTAATAGTGTGTGATTCAAAATATCACCCAGGGTATGTCAATTAGTCTGTAATCATGATCAATAAATTACTGTGCATTATTTTACGTGGGCCGAATTCTGGTTGGTTTATTCCCAGACTAGACATTGACCACCATATCACTGATCTACACTGATCAGATTAAAATTGTTTGGCGTCTAAGAAACCATACTTGTCTAAAAATTCACTGCAACCCTGGCGTGTTGTCAGTTGGAGCAAATTCAACTTCTTGTAGTTTTCTACAAATTGAGTCACTTATGGTGCAGGGAGGTAAGTGTGTCATGTATGGTTGGTTTTTGCATAATAGATTATAGGTTCAGGTCCCACTCTATCTACCAAAGTTTGGGTAGCAAGTTAGTATAATTAGTCCTCACTTGAAAACGTGTGAACTAGAACCTAGTGCCTAAACTGTATAAAGTTGTCCAGTTTTTTTATTATGCATTGTTCTTTTTCATTATTAATTCATAAATGTGGATTAAATCGTGCATTTTTCTCGGGGGGTGTATTATGCGAGTACACAATTCATTATTATAATAAAAACTATTAACAACAATTGCTTAACTTGTTTTCACCTTATGTGAATTGTCTAGAATCATGTTCATGATGATTCACATTGTTATGATAGATAATTTATGTTTGTTGTTGTTGGTAGCTTTTTTGCCTAATTTATTTCTTGTGTGTAGGCGCCTACACGGCCATCAAGTCGTTTTTAATTTTTCTTTGTATAATGGTTACTAGTTGTTTTCTTTCGGATTTTCAATGTCTTCTTTGATAGCATATTAGAAACATTATGGAGGCTAGTCTCTTGATGAGTGATTGGCAATTGATGCCAGTTAACATAAACTGATAATAATAAATAGCATTCTTGTTCCTAATAAACAATACTAAATATGATAATCAAATGTCCTGCACCTTTTTATTTAGCTGCTGCGATTTAAACTATCTTCACCTTAAAAAGACGCTTAGTGGCCTCCAGAGATTACGAAGTCTCATGATGATATATGCCCACCAATTATATGACGAAAGAATTTAGAACAACACATTTCAGCAAACAATATTATTTTCAATTCGAACTCACTGTTTGACTAGATTCAACTTTGCACCGATGTACGCCAGTCCAAGTCACCACACTCTATGCAGCACACAAACCAAGCGAAGAAAGTAGAAGAAATGCAAAATAAAGATAGTAAACAGGATATAAAGCATGTCTGCACCTTCCTAAGTGGCTTAAACTAACTGCTGTGGATTTCATTGACTGTTGCCATGTTTTGGTTTGACCATCACTGGCTCTTTTCCAAGCCTACCCTATGTCAGCTAAGATTTCCCGTCGAGGAAGGCGATGGCTAGACATACGTAACACATGTCCTAACCATCTCAGTCGATGTAGCTTCACAGCCTCGTCTATTGATTTCCCCTCCCACCTACCTAGCACTCGACCGGTGACTGACCTCAATATTTCTCACCCTATTATACTACCTAACACGGGAGATGGGACGCAGGCACCTATAATCAAAGACAGCTAGCCTTTCATTTCTTCCACTCTCAATGGCCAGGTCTCACTCACAGCCATAAAAGAGGAAGGAGAGGACTGCTGAGCAGTACATCCACCCTTTGGTCGACAGCCGGATATCACGCCTACGCCAGAGACGGCGTAAACTGGCATATGCGAAACGAGCCTTCTGTACCCGTGCTGAGATTTCGTCAGCGATCAATTCGTTGTGGCTGATGCAACTTCCCAAATAAGTGAAGCGGTCAACACGCCCTACCACTTCACTCCCTGTAACATCATCTTACATTTGGTGGGAGCGAATCGCATGCCAAACATTTGGAGATTGCAGCCCGAGGCGTTCAGAAGACTCTGCTCGGTTTCTGTCAGCGTCTTCACCTAGAAGGACTCTATGTCACCTGCATATTCAAAGTCAACGAGATTATACCCTGGTAACAAGTCAATCCCTGAGTCGTTGAAGTGAGTTAGGGTTAATTCCATTAGTACACCTATGATGAAATTGAGTAGAAATAGGGATAGTGGGCATCTCTGACGGACACCATTAGTTGTCACCACTTCAGATGACAACTCGCCGTAAGCCCTCACCTGGTTGCATGATTTCGAGTAGAGTGTCTTGATCAGTGCAATGTATTTTCTCGGCATTCCCTTTACAGCCAAGCGTCGCCATAGTACCTCTCGGTCGACAGAATCGAATGCCGCCTTTAGGTCAAGAAATATGACGATTGTTGGACGCCGGTAAGTATGCCTATGTTCCAGAATCTGTCGAAGGGTGAAGATATGATCAATACACCCTCTTCCTGGTCTAAAGCCTGCCTGGTTCTCTCGTGTTTGTTCCTCCCGAGCACCGCTTAGTCTACGCATTATTATTGAGCCTAGAACTTTGGATACCATATTAGTCAAGCTAATCCCCTTGTGGTTGTCACAGGAAGACTTGTCTCCCTTCTTGTATATCGAGATAATCAGTGACTGACACCAACCCATCGGGACTTCCTCTGATTCCCAGACGCTGCCTAGTACCTTAGTTAACGCAGACAGTAAACTGTCTCCACCGTACTAAAATACCTCTGGAGCCATTCCATCAGGTCCTGCTGCTTTGCCTCGTTTCAGACTAGTGGCAGCCTTAGTACCCTCAGTTAGGGATGGTGGACCTGTATCTATATCCCATTCAGGGAGATGTTGGATGTTCGGTAAGTTGAGCGTGGCTGTAGGCCAATTAAAATGCTCCTCAAAGTGTTCTTTCCAGCGTTCCAGTCGTCTATCGGGGGAGCCAATTATGGTGCCATTTCTCTCAGAGATTGTTTCACTTATCGTTCGCCTTTTACCACCTGTTTCCCTGATAAGCCTAAACAGTTGTCTGGTGTTACCAATCGCCGATGCCTTTTCCATCTCTTTCGCTTTTGTTGCCCACCACTGTTCACGGTCGTTGCGATGGTGATTATCTGAACATAACCGTAGAATACGATCACCGTTGTCGTTTCGTGGGCAGGGAACTCTGTGCGTGCCACCTACATACCTCTCAGTCTGGCATAAGTTCCTTACTTGGGCATTGAAGTCGCCTGCTAAAGCAACTATATCTGAAAGTTTCGCTTTTTGCAGCAAGTTAGACAGTTACGGGTAGAAATCATCCTTTAGTTCATCTGAACTGCAGTCTGTTGGGGCGTAAGCGGAGACTACGAGAAGACAACGACCAGTAACGCCGTCCTTCCTTTGTCAAATGGACCTGTTCAGACAGACCGCACACATACGACTATCTACTAAGATCCAGTCAATAGGTGATTTTTCCGCCCTAACACTCAGTGCTATCCCTACACCTGCGAGTCCCCGCGAACTAGCTGTGGGGTCTCCTGACACCCTTAAAGTGAATTTCGCGGATTCACCTTGTTGACCGAGTGAGGTTAAGTGAATGACCACACTCGGATCTTTTATGCGTGTCTCCGAAACACAACATACATCCATGGTTCGAGATGTCAGAGTTGTGGCTATTGATGCCTGTTGTCCGATTTGGCAGAGGGTCCTGACGTTGGAAGGTCCTATTTGGCGACGTGGCTTTAAGAGGCTTTCGGGGGTGGCTCTCATAGTTGTTTGTGGTCACAGACTGAAGTGAAGATGACTCACTAGCCTGAAGAATAGTACTGACTGTAGTAGGAAGGTAAGATAGTGAAGTTGATATGGGTAAAGAAGAATGATGCTCTGGAAGGCTTCATGTGCTCTTGGAAGTGTGTGGGTGGTTGTTACTTCCCGGCTGCCCACACCGTGGAAGGTGATTGATTCTTCTGGTACCTGAAACAGAAAGAAGGTTGGAGTTGCGTGACCACAGAGCCCGGGGGGACAACTGCTTGAGGCCGGTCACACATGGCCTGTTTGAACTGGCGTCTTGGTTTGGTTCCGTATTAGTAACTTACCTCCGGTTACGGACCACCGTAGGGTAAGTCGGGATGTACAATTTTTGGGGTCGACCTTTTCTAACCCCCTCTCTCCAGAGTGGAGAGACAGCATAGTTGGCATGCTGGTCATCTGAGGGAAACACCTTACTGCTGTTTCATCCCTGTTCCCCAACAGTACGACTTTGTCCACAGACCCCCAGCATAATGTAAAAAAAATAAATTCTTACACTATGCCGGTAACTGCTTTTAGTCTTAACAGCCTTTCTGGCATGGTCGGACGTGCAGGAACAATAGTTCCAGCCAGTGTAGGTTGTTGGGTCATAGCGACATGCAAGCCCGACTACCACGTCAAATTAGCAGCTATTATTAGAGT